ATTTGGCAGTTTTTTATCTTCTGGTGCTGAAGAAAGTGAATGCTTAATTTTTAATACTTCATCCCCTACTTTATAAGTTACTCCCCGTCGTTTCAAATCATAATAAGCTTTTGTTTTCTCTGTGCTACTTCAGTATTCTTTTTTTTTTTTGCTTCTTTAATTAGTTTTTCTATATCACCCATTTTAAATTCTGGGGCTCTTTGTTGCACATAAAATAATTTATCTAACGGCGTTATAATCTTTCTGCCTAAAAATAACTCAGCAGGAGTTTTGCCCGTTGTATCATGTTTTGCGGTCCTAAGGGCGAAAGCAAACTCATCGACATAGTTATCCCAGCTTTTATGAAAATTTTTAACATAACTACGGATAATTTTCACTATATTTCTATTGACCCGTTCCGCTATATTTGATTGCGGCCGATACGGGACCATTTTTAAATGACGTATGCCCAGTTTTTGGCACATGTCTTCAAATATATTACTTACAAATTGAGGACCATTATCCGATATAACTTTTAGGGCGCCCCCGTATTTTAAAATATATTTATTTAAAATAGAATCAGTAACTAATTTCGCGGAGGCTCGTTTTAAGGGAACAATTTCGGTCCACTTACTAAAATGATCAACCATAACAAGGAGATAGCGACTTTTATTTAACTGACTTTTTGGGAAAGGGCCCAATAAATCGATGCCAATTATTTCATTTGGAAATTCGGATTTAATACTATTTAGAAACCCGGCCGGGCGGAAATTAATATAATTAACTGCTTGACATGTTGGGCAGGACTGGACATACGCCCTTGTTAACTTTTGCAGTTCAGGAAAATAGACTGCCTCGCGTACGCGTTGGATAGTTTTTCGAATACCAGCATGAGAAGCTAAAGGGCTGTCATGGAGCTCCTGCAGGATATTTAATCTAAGACTAGCTGGGATAACAGGTCGAAATTCGTTGTTGGAATTCGTAGTTTTTGTATAAATAATAGACCATCTATTAGTTCGTAATGGGCCGCCCTATTTCTTATCGCCACAATATCTTGGTGGCTAAAATTTTCAGGATCCTTTAAATACTCATAAATGCTTTCCAAACTCAGGATCCTTACCCAGTTCGGTTATTACAGTTTCTCGGGAATTTATTGTACATGCTGTGAGCATTGCCACCTTTACAGTATTACCTTCTTCATCTATTTTAATTCTGGATAGGGCATCTGCTACGATATTTTCCTTTCCGGGGGTATGCTTGATTACCAGATTATATTCTTGTAAGCTTGAGTGCCCATCTTATTAACCTTGGGGATAATTTTTTCCCTGAGTACAATCTAGTTACCGCCGCATGATCAGAGTACACTGTTATTGGCGCCTTTCCAAAATAGACTCGGAACTTTTGCACTGCTAACAGAACTGCAAGTGCCTCTCTCTCGGTCGCGGAATATTTCTTTTCTTTGTGTTTGATTTAAAGTTCGGACTAAAAAATGCCACGGGCTGCTGATTTTGCGAAAGTACCGCTCCTACCGCATAATCCGAAGCATCCGCTAAAATTTCTAAATTCTCATCCTTTTCAGGAAATTTCAACACAGGGGCTTGCGTTAATGCTTGTTTTAATTTTTCGAAAGCACTATTGGCTTCGGCCGTCCACGAGAATCTTGCCTTTTTCCTTTTTAATTTTTTACAATGGTTCAGCAATAGCTGCAAAATCTTTTATAAAGGACCTATAATATGAACAAAGTCCTAGAAAAGAAGAGAGCTTCTTCGCCGTGTTCGGAGTCGGATACTTTTGTACAGCGATTATTTTTGATTCGTCTGTCTCGATTCCTTTCTGAGATATTTTGTAACCTAAAAAATATTTTAATTCAGGGGCTGCAAATTTGCACTTTTCGACATTAACTTTTAGACCGGCCTCATTTAATAAAGAAAACACCTGTCTTAAATCCTGTACATGTTGGTCGAGATTATCACTAGTAATAATGATATCGTCTAAATAGATAAATGTGGACTTTCCAAGAACAGGCCTTAACACAATGTCCATACATCGCTGAAATGTTGCCGGTGCCCCTGAAAGGCCAAACGGCATACGCAAAAATGCATAAGTGCCAGACTTGGTTATAAAAGCAGTCTTAGGCACGTCCTCAGGCCTAACCCCTATTTGAAAATAACCAGTCGTTAAGTCTAAAGTCGTCATATATTTGGTGGATGTTATGTTCCTTAGAATTTCTTCAATAATAGGTAACGGATATACCGGATATTTAGTTATGGAGTTTAATTTACGGTAGTCAATTGCGAATCTCCACCTTTTTGGATGTGTCAAAGGATAGTCATTATTTTTCTTACATAAAACCACCGGGCTAGCATAACTACTTGAGATGGGCGTTATGATCTTTTTACGTAGCATATCGGTGATATGCCATTCTATAATTTTTTCCTTATTCTTATCATACCGGTATGCTTTGTGGCGAACTGGCATTGAATCTCCGGTGTCAATACTATGGTTAGTAACTTGAGTAAATCCTGGAATATGACTAAATAACGAAGCAAATTCACTTACCACTTGTCGGATTCTTCGTTGCTCTTCATTAGGCAGGTGGTCAAGGTTTAACATCGGCGGTTCAGCCTTTTCTTCACGAACTGGTTTTTTCACGAACTGGTTTCATTGTCAGCTTAAGGGACGCTTCATTAAAATCCTAGCGTTGCTTGTGCCTCTGAAAGAAAATATATTCCTAAAATAATATGTGCTTGCAGATTCTTTACTATGAAAAACATAACCTTCACTTGTTCGTCCTTGATACGGACATACAGCGGTAATTTACCTATGCACTTACATCTTTCTCCTTGCGCAGCTAACACTGTCGTATTATCCGAATTATATATGCGGATATTTACGAAAATACTTCCTAAAAAAATCTTCTGCCACACAGGAACACTGCGCGCCTGTATCCAGGAGTGCGGTGGCTGGGATATTATTCACCAACACTTCAATCTTCGGAAGAGTCAAATTTTTCACCATTACTGTATTTAACTTGAAGGAAGAGGGGTTTTTTCGTGGCCTTCGGATTTCCGCACCCTCCCGTCAGCAGAAATCCGTTTTAGTTTAAATTATTTTTCATTTTTCCGTGCTTTCCTTTCCTTCTTTTTCCACTGGCCTTGAGATTTTTTTCCTGGATTGCTATTGAACTGTCGACGTTCGCCGTTCGCCGGCTGTTTTTGAATGCTCGGGTTTCCTTGCCCACTGATTCGCTTTGCTTCCGTAGCCGTGTGCTTGAGTTTGCTGTAGTCTTGGCGCACCAAATTGGTTTCGCTGTTGATATTGGCGTCTTCTTTCAATGTCCGCCGTTCTTCTACTTTCAAACTGGATTGCTAGCTCAAATAACTTTTCCAGTGTAGTCGGATTTCTTAATTCAATAAAGTCTTGCACTTGGGGAAGTAACCTCGGCAAAATCACTTGAATTATCTCAGGATCCGGACGGTTTCCATACAAGAGTTTGAAGACGTGAATTTTTCTTAAAATAAAGCTTGAGAGATTTTCGATTCCTTTGCTGATATATGCTGAAAAGTTCCGTTTCTAATTTCGCACGATCCCTTACGACAGGGAAGGCTTTTACTAAGGGCAGTCTTGAAATTTTCGTAAGTATAGGTGGGACTTCCTGCTTTACCCAAGAGACTTCTGCCTATACATTTGAACCAGTTAAGCGCTTGGCCCCTCAAAGCGCTGGTAGCTAAGGTAACTTTTTGGAATTCGTGCACGGGGTAGAGCATGAAGTGGTCATCCAATTTTTCCAAAAAACTGGTTACCGGTGAGTTTCCATTAAATGTTGCTTCTGGTTTCATCGAAGCGCGCATGGTCTGGACGATGTAACCAAATCCTTCCAGGGCGGCAGCTGGCATTTCTGGATTCTGAGCCGCTTCTGCAGGCAGCACAGGTTCTTCTTGAAACTCGGCCATGGTTATTCTTCTTCGTTGGGCGCCACTATCAGGTTCTATGTTCCGTCTTACTTTCTTTGGGAACATGCACAGACCTGACTCGGAACAGAGAGCTTACTAAAGCTATGTTGAATAACTGTGGGAAGTAGACAGGATACACAAGAAGGGTATACAAAACCCTTTATTTTTCTCTATTTACAATAATTTCCGTACTTCGGAATACAAAGACCCACTACTTGTGGTCTAAACGTAAGAATATAAAAATAGAACTAAACTCTAACCTTAACTTTGAAATAATAAACGTGGAAGATTGGCCTTATATTAACAGGAAGCCGTATGTAGTACAGAGAACTGTTAACACTACAATACGTTTTAAAATTATCAAGAGGATTAAACCTCTGGCCTGGAAGGCAACCAGCAACTGAGTAAAACTTCTAAGGTAAGCGGCCTGCTTCGACTAACTCTCCTCCTCCTCTCTCTCGCTTGGCAAAAAGCCACAACTTAAGTACTTGACGTTCGCCAGACAAATTTTGCATAAATAAGTTAACGCTTATAATTCTGGCCGGAAGTAGAAAATAAGAAGTGATAGTAAAGATTTAAAATAAAATAAACGTTAGTAAAACTTAAGATCCTTACAACTTTATCAGAAAAGGTTTCCTTTAACGATAAAAAAAAGCTAATTTTTTTTTCTGGATTTCGTTCAAAACTAATTTTAGACATTCTGAATGTCTAAAATTTGTTGTATTACATTAAAACCAATTTTAAATTCAAAGCTGCAAATCCTTGCCAATGCCCAATTATTGCCTGAAAATCACAAGGCCACAAAGCTCGAATCTGGAACCCACATTTTAGGAAACCTGAAAAATTATTGTGTTTTTCAGTCTATTATTGTATTGTTTTTACTTAGTTAAAATTATTGTGTTTTCTTTTTCTTAATGAAATGAAAATGTAAGAAAAATGAGTGTTGAGGACCCCCTGAAAAAATTTTGTTTTTAGTGGCCTAGAGGCCCCAAATGTCCCTGATAAATAGGGCCAACGTGTGTGTATCGTTTGATATTTCAATATAATAATTCTGTGTTCGTATTTCAGATAATATATGTGATGCGTAACCCTAAAGATACTGCAGTTTCATTCTACCATCACCACAAAATGAGTAATTTTCTTGGGAATTCCACAGCTACCTGGGATCAGTTTTTCGCTTACTTCGTGTCTGGAAACGGTGAGTTCATTTGAATTTATGTTTTCAGATATTCTTGTTTCTTCTCTTCGTAGAATGTGGGTTTGGATGCTATGTTGTAATTAAAAGCAAATTTGATAGGAATGTGCTGTTTTATACATTTTGATTTCCTTACCACGCATAACGAATATCCTCCATTACAAATTGCCCGTAAATTTCGTCTCAAATTAAACGGGAAGATAAATTTATTTACTTTTTTTAGCAGTGCTTAAATACAAAATATTTATATTCTCTTAAACAAAGTCAGTTAGGAGGTTATAGGCATATTAACATATTTTTACATTATATTACCATTGACCAATATGATTAATCCCGCCTTGATTGTAAACTTGAGTAAGCCCATAAATAAGATTTTTCTAGTGAGGAGGAGATTAGGTTAGGTTAAGTTATTTAATGACAACGCACACAAGGGCTACCTACCGAAGAAGAATGATACGCTTTTGGAGAAGTTTCTAAGGAAAACTGGCTCGCATTCAGTTTACACGTGGGGAAAACTATGAAAACGAACTATATATCCAGCCCGTTCGCCTGGATTCGAACCTGAGGAAAACTATCACCATTCAGCGTCTTAACATTTTGGCCACTGTTGAGGAGGTCAGAAGGAAGAAAACGCAAAACGTCTGTGCCTGTTGCTGCTATTAAGATCTTTAAAGGAGGTATAATTTAGGCTGATTCTATATTTCATAAAGCGAAAATTTATTTGATTCGAAGTCGGAAGTGGTCCAGGTCTAGTCAAACAGTGGCATACCAATAAACTGGTATGAACAGAATGGTTGATATATTCAATGATAATGATAATGGATGCACTATTTCAGAACCACTCTAAAGAGGAGGAAGATCCTGTTAGACAACATCTTAATCATTCAGGGTATTTTCTTGGAACCTGGATTTTCCCAAAAAGCAAAGGCAAATGATAAAGAAGAGGAAGGGCAACTGAATCTTCCAGTTCCACGCAAAGAGTGAGAAGACTTAAGATTAAATTGAACTAAAGTTGTGAGACTATGTTCATGCGCAGCATATGTAAATATTTTATATCTAATAAATTATAAAACTCCTAGCATTTCGAGATTAGTAATGTGTTTAATATCAAGTCTTACTTAGGAACGGATTAAAATTATTCTTAAAGTAACCTACTGGGAGGAGCGTTCCACATAACTAATGGCATTGCGAAGCGGATTACATTAGCTATGCGAAATAGATTATATTTTAAAACTTTAACTTAAAAAAAAAAAAAAAAGAAAAAGAAGAAGAGAAAAAAAAATACATTTTATCTGCAAGTGGATATTAAAATTCGAAGAAATTCGATACTTTCACTTCAGTAGCATGCCCGTTAGAGACGCCAAGAAGTGTGATACCATTTGGTTTTTCTAGTAAATGTACTGTTTTATTTCTTTTACTGAATAATAAGAAGAAAATTTGTTTGCTGTTTGAATGTGTTTAATAATAATACAAACGTAAGAAATAACAAAAAATTCTTTATCATCATATTCTACACATATTTAGCTACTTTATCTCAGTATGTGTTGCATATATTAATGGTAATATAATTTTATAAATGTATGTCTTTCATCATTTAAAATGTGTTAATTAAATCGTTTTAATACACATGTATTTTGAAACTGTTCATAAAAGTATTCGAAAGCTTGTTTATTCGTTCGAACTGCGTAAATAAGAGGCGTATCACTTAGAAAACCCCACACGTAGAGCCCATTCCCTTTACATAGCTGCCAGATTTGACAGTTTTACCGAGAGGCTGTCTGTTTATCAACACATCTCCTGGTTTTCAATTTTCCGCTTTTATTAAGGAGAACTAGTAAGGAAAATTTTCTTATTATTAGATTTTATTTAATATGAATTAATCTATTGTAGATATCTATGGAATTTTTTACGGAAATTCAAGCAAAATTTAATTGGTTAATATTAAATTTAATTTTATTTTACATTAATATTGGTACATAAATAAGTTATTCCCCACAAAAATATGTAGATTAATTTTATGTAGATATGTTTATGTAGATATGTTTGTAGAATTAAAAGGCATTTTGATAAATCAAATCATTCCTTCCTGACTTAGGATTTTCTCAGTATAAAATGCAAGAAAATATGGAAATGAAATTAGCTAAGAAGCCTAAAATTTAGAATATCTAATTGAACATTAATGTATTTCACATTAGAATAATATTACAAATAGCTCAATAATTCAGTAAATTTAAGTCAATTTGGAGTTACGCTCGAAAGATGAGCAGCAAACGCTAAAAGAAAAGATACGAATTTTAAAAAGAAGTAATTAAGACATACAATTTACATATGATGTAGAGGTTGAATCGCAGAATGCAAAAAAGCAGCCAAAATTAACATAAAACGCAATCCCGCAGTCACACAACAAATGCCTTAAAAAGGGTCATGCCGGATCTATGCATCAATTCACAAGCAGTGATAGCTCCGCGTAATCCGAGATAGCCAAAGCGGAAAGCAGGAGCCGAAGACACCATTTGTACGATGAAGTAGTGTGTTGGAGGGCTGTCGGGATGTCGTAAGCTTGTGCAAGACAATCCTCTGCTGCGAAAAAGCTGAATGTGCATCTGAGTATCATCAGTAGGCTATGGAATCGTTACCAAAGAGATCAAAAACACTGTAGAAGACTTGGGTCTGGACGCCGGAGCATTACCTCAGCGGCAGACGATCGCTTTCTATTGCTATGTGCAAGACTACGTAGATCACTAGCAGCATGCTAGCTAACGTCGCATCTCTCTGATACTGCAGGTCGGTACTGACTCGGTAGGTACTCTGATACTGCAGGTCCCGACAAACTGTGTCGCGTTGACTACATGAAGGTGGACTGTACACCCGAATACCTGTGGTTTGTGTCTCTTTCTGCCCATCGCATGTCAAAGCGCGGTTGAAAAGGACCCGCGAACGTCGCAGTTGGACACCAGAAAAGTGGAACGACGTATACTCTCTACGGATGAGTCTCGATTTATGGACTATAACGCCCGCTCGCATAGAGCTCGAATGGTACGGAGTTATCTGGAGAGTGAAATTACTCCACATCTGCCGTCACCTGCTAGATACCGAATCTGAACCTCATACAGCCTGTGTGCAACATATTAGGACAACGGATAACAGGTCGCAGTGTGCTGCCAGGCACTCTCTACGACCTTCGACATACATAATTACAAGAATGGGCACTACTGCCACAACAAGCGATCAACGACACTATTCCCAGCTTGCGTCGCCGTTGTCAAACATGCATTTCAACTAGAGGGTATCATACCAACACCACAGAGATTTAAGACCACCGGTGTCCATCTTATCCGTTATTAGCGTGATTTAACAGTTTAACAATTCATCTTTAATTATTCATCAAATTTAACAGTTCGTCTTTTTTCCAACCAATTTGGTGTTTCGCGATGTGATGATCGTAGTACACGTGTTTTGTATATCTTTGCTATGTGGTCTAGTAATGCCACACCAATCTCTTAGATCAATTTCATGCACATCCATTAAATAAATAGCTTTTGTTTTACTCCGTATTTTGCTTTTGTTGCTTATTTTTTTAGCAGGTATGTATTTTGTAATGGGGCCCGGAAAAACCTCCTGGATTCACATTTCAGAGTTGGTAGCTGTGATTTATAAATCAGTAACTTGAATCATACATTATACAGTGAGTTTAAGTCGATTTTTGAAATCGCGTCAGCGAGAACCCCGAAAATCTCCTGGTTTTTGTTCAGGGTCGACAAGTATGCTTTAAGATTGTCCTCGTGTGTTTTGTGTTATTGTTATAAACACACACACACAGAATCCCCCCCTCGAACTACCTTTTTAACTATCAAATAGCCAAATTAGGGAAATACAGGGCATACTGATAGTCTTCAAAGCAATTTTTAACGACCTTGTTCTTTCATTTTGCAGCAATATTTGCGACTTTTCCTTCTAACTGGCAACAATGTTCGGCGACATACGTAATTTACTAATAAATTTACTCTGAAAGAATAACCTGTATCTAATCTGCAAACTTATGGTACATCAAGTACCCAAAACTCCCCTACCATTGCTTTTGTAAAAATTTCTATTCCATGTAAACAAGCTTAGGTTCATCTATACTTCGGAGAGAAAATGTAATCAGAGCTAAAGATTTTAATGAATATGGAAAGCGTTGCATAAATCTAATTCACTAAATTAAGAATTCACAATGTTATTTGGATTATATTTGTACAACTAAAGTTAAAAAAAGGTTTTACAGAACGACAGGGATAAATGATGGAGAACTTATTAATTTTTCTTGTTCTAACAAGATTTATGTTCTATTGTAGCAGCAATTTGTTGGGACTAACATGCATATCAAATCACACTAATAAAAATTTTCTAAGAATAAAAATCTGGAACATAAGTGAACAGTTCTGCGGTAGTTTAAGTACAATGGTGTCTCGACTTAACTTAATCTATTCCGGTCTGCGGTATTCTTATTTCAAAACCCAGTTTTCCATTTCATGTTATGGGAAATCAGTTATTTGGTTTCCAAATTTAAAATTTTTGAAAAAATGAAAACGATATGTATTTATGGAGAAATTATTAGTCTTATTCACAGAATCTTAGCTTACGTACTTTGTATAATAATAACAATGAATCACAGTTTTTAAACTAACGTTTAAGTAATATTATGCCAAGTAATTTTTAGTTTTCCGAACAAATATTCCGCTAGTTTTATATTGTTCTAAAATTAACTGACGAATCCTGCTTTATTAGAAAAATGATAGATAATATAAGTGAGATTATCTGTTTTGCTACAAAGAAGTCAAAATTGCAGTGTCACTTTGTGTACAGAAGTTGCAACCAATTCATAATAGTGGTCTTACTTCTGTAAAAAAGTGCTGTATAATAAATTTAACAATTCATCTTACTAGTGTCGCTCTGCACAATTTTATTCAGCATTTTTATCAATGTTTGATAAGATTGTATTTTGATACATTTTATCGTAAGAGATTAAAATGAAAATGTAGCAGAAAAGAGCCGAATAATAACATAGTATGCAAAAAGTAATGTAACCAAACCTTTTCTAAGCTGTCACAAGATAACATAGTTCTTCGTTTATCATATAATACCGAATTTTCCTATGCGTGTTGTCGTGGTGAAAACTGAACTGGCAAGTCGAAAATCCTTGCTTCAGATCCTGGACATAACCGACATTTTTTATATCGTGTTTCGGGAAAAAATGTAATGTCTGTATTGTTGCGCCCGAACTAGAGTGTGATGAAGCTATAATTCGTTTCTGCCTGCATTTGGTCTAGCAGGCCTACATTTATCGTGACGTCTGTACGTAGATATATATATATATACCATAACTCAAACACGAGTATCCTCAGTATGTTTAGATTTTGTATATGGGACTGCTATAATATGTAGTTGCAATCGGCCGCATCAAGAGTATATATATATATATATATATATATACCCACTGTGTTACTCGGCTCGTGAGCTCAAATTTTTTATTCTTATATATTGGTAAATTGTGCATATTTTGCTTTAAAAGTGATTCAGTTATGTTGTTCTTATGTTTCGGTTAAGGGTTTTATGCCTTTAGTTAATTTGCATGCAAGAATTACCAACAATTTAAAAGTTACTAAAGTGCGACTAAGACTAACGGATCAGCCATTGTTTACATTTAAAACTTAGCAGAATAGTGAGTTAAATCAGTTTCTACACCTTCATTGTCTTTTATGCCGAGTAAAATTTTGTGCACCGAAAAATCTTCTTTCCCGCTGGCCGAATTGATTCTTTTTGCGTAGAAACTCTAATTTTAATTGCAAAATTTATTTTTTGACTGTTTTAACTGAATTTGGTGTTTTAGGATTTTCCGTATAATTCAATTTTTAACGAAGATGTTTCGAGTTTATATATATATATATATATATATATATATATGTATATATAAATAAAAAAAATTTCGTCAAACAAAGAGCTTCAATTGTCTGTTTCAGCAAAACGCGTAATGGTGTTAGCTTAGTTCGACATTCAACTATTTTTCCCTTGAAAAGCCTGGTTGGAAATCCAATTGAGCTAATTTACCATTTTCCGCTTTGTAATTTTTATAATTTTTGCAATTTATGTTTTAATTATTGTATTTTAATTTTGTTTTAACTTGTTCCGTCGATCTGTTTTATATATATTAACTTTTCACATATCACATACGATCAGATTAGTTTTTTGTGCTTTCAGTAGTTTTCCAACATTGATTTTAACAGTTTTATTTCGCGTGTAGGCTATTTTTTTACTTTTCCATGTTAATATTTTTTAAAAAAAACTTCTATGTCAATATTTAAAAAATACTGCGTTGAACTATTTCATGGAGCCACAGCTCCTGGTAACTTTTTAGCAATATCACTACAATATTTCTTCCTATTATATATATATATATATATATTTCCGCGAAGTGAGAACTGAACTGAATGAGAAATATATCTGTAATGAAATTCGAGGAAATAAGTTTAAATGAAATGCTGCAAAAATGTGTATAATTTACTAGGCCGTACTAGGAACTCTTGTGTCCAGGTTAGATTTTTTATTTGTGTTGCTCCAGCAGAACGTCACTAAGTTAGCGATTCAAAATTATCTGTTGCTTATCCATATAATTCTTAGCCAATTTTACGGTCACTTTTCGATGAGGAACTATGTTTATTATGTTGGCTCTAAATCACATTTTTATGTTGTTTGCAGTAAGTCATTGAAGACTTTTAGTATAATTTTATTTTAAAGACCTTCTTCCACAACCATATAATTTACGTACTTTCGGCGTAGAGTATTGTTACAAATTTGTTTGTACAAGTGAATAATTTTAGTGAAACTTAATGTTAAATAGTAATATCTCTCGTATAATGTAACAAGAAAGGCTTCAAGAGAGAGAAGCTTCGTTGAAAGTAGAAGGTTACAGGAGCAAGTACATTTAATGCAAATGGCGAGATAGCCCCAAGCTGGTGATGGTTTCGGCGACTAATATTTAGCACCGAATTTGGGGCAACTTTTTGCCGATCCCTAATAACTGTGATTGGTCTGATCCCTATATATAACTGTAACTGTATCTGGCTCTATATATAACTGTAACTGTATATGCTTTCCAGCAATTTCGAGAAAGGTTCTGGAAATTTCTCGGCGGCCTGTGGAAAATTGTATAAGACTAGGGAGACATCTGTTTTTAGTCAAAGTTGAGTTCGGAGTATTGAAATATTTTCCTGAGAGCTTTGCTTTTTAGATAAGCTTTGCAGTGCGCTTCGTTTAACATTCTTAGTAGTTTGAAGTGGTAACTAATGATTGTGCTCTGTAAGACTTAGAAGAGTTGTACGAGTACCTTTCTGAAAAATTCAAAAACTGTAAAGTGCTTTTTTGGGGGAAAATAAATGTTATAAAGCTAGCGTCGGTTCTGTGTGCATTCAATCTGTTACGAACCCGAAAGCACATAACAATACGTAGTTGATTGCAGTACTAAATTCCTATACCGTAATTCATAAAACTCTTCAGTACCTTAAATTTCATTCCACCTTTTTTACTTCCCGCGAACCTATATACATAGATAAAGTAGGTTTTTCAGTTTCCGAATTCGATTTTGAGTTTTCAGTGATTAAGCACGAAATAGGGCTCCCAGTGTATGTATCTGCTGTTTTTCTGATGATGTGACGATTTCTTTTCTTCCACAATAACTCGTATCTAACTTGCAAAAACTTCCATTTTCCATATTTAAGATTTTTGCATTCAGATTAGATTTGAGGTAAAATTGGGCAACCGAAATTGGTACTTTACTTGAAGCTCATAACAGTTTTTAACGGACAACCGGAAATGGTATTTTACAAGAAGTCCATAACAGTTTTAAAATGATAGTTTATGAAAAGCTGTATTGAAATGTAATTCAAAATTTTAGCATTTAAGATAGTTATATCAAAGGAAATAACAGATTTGGGTTAAAATTAATAAATCGGAAGTGAAGCTGTAAACAGATTTTTGTGGAGAAAAATATATATTGTGATATAATCAAAAATTTCCCAGATTCGGTATTTAAAACAAGTGCATGAGATACAATCATAGCTAAAAAAATATAAGATTTTGACTGTATATAATAAATAATAAACCGTAACAGGTACTTTACTTGGAACTCTATAATATTTTTTTTTGAAGAAATAAAGAATCACTATTATATCTAAAGTATTACAGCCCATATTAAAGTTATTTCTATTATATTTAGACATAATATTCATTGATATCAAGCCGTAGAAGAGAACACATTTTATAACAGCCTTTCATTTGCAGAAGTTCAAAATTCTTGAAATGCAGCCATGTTATAAAAAAAGTCTATTGTGGACACCACATGACTTTCTTGTACGCCTATTAAATTATAGGTATTTTTTGCTGTACTTCATTTAAACCTGTTTCCTCGAATCACTCTCACTTAATTATCTGATTCTTCAAGCCAAGTTGAAAATGACATCAAAAAAATGTTGAAAATGTTGAAGCTAAATTCCGGTCAATTTTTAGTCGTAGAGGAGTCAAACATTTTATTTTAACTTTTCCTTTTATTTTTATATAACGAGCATAAAATATTCACAAATATTAGCATAGGAACCAGGAGATTATATTAAAAGTTCAATTTCGTTATTTTTCCAAAATTAAATTATTTTTTTAATTTGAAATTGTAAAAACATGAATATTTTCATCATTTAAAAGATTTCTGTAATTGGAAATATATGTGCACGAACAACGATTGCGAAAATAAAGGCCGAGTAAGGACTTTTAAGGCGGGTAAACGGGATATATACATATATACGTTTTTTAGTATTGCCGAATTCAGTAACAAAGGGCAGTACACAACTAGATGCTATAACAGTCCCAAATACAAAATTTTAACATTCCACGGCCGATCGTTTTCGAGTTTTGCAAAGTACATACAGACGTACTTACAGACGTCACGAAAAAAATACATTTTGAATCCATTTTACAATCCGTTTTGGAATAAAGAGTCCTTTAGTCTATCTATACATTCATTGACACGCCAAGCAAAACAATAGTTAAAATGGATAATCTTGTTGAAATATGAAACCCGAAATTTTTCGCGATTATACTTTCTTTACTTCGTACAGGGAAGTAAAAATACACTTGGCAATCTCTTGCTCTGTTGATGATGAAGAGTACAAGAGCAAATAACAAATTCAGAATCACCTATTTTTTTACTTCTCACTGATCTTGGAACGCATAGCAGTCACTAATCAGCTATGATTTAAAAACTATATTCCAAAATACAAAATTTGATATTGCCAAATTTCAGTTTATTAGAATAAAATAAATTAGATTTTGTTTAGAAATGATCAACCGGAAGCGACATGTTACTTAAAGCTCTTTGCTATTTAAAATATGTAAATGGCGGGAGCTAAATGTTTTTGCCATATCAGATTTTTAGAAATTTACATTGGTCAGGAAACAGCTTTTGATTGGTAGCGAAATGTTCCATAATATTTAATTGTTACTAGGACTTCTCTTTCTCCTTCTTCCGCTACCATAGCAAATACCTGTCTTTGATCTCAGTAAATAGCAACTACATAAAGGTGGGCCGCGGTGCTTATAAGTTTGAGAAATTCTGGTCTTTAGACCAGAGTTTCGAAAGGTTCTAGCATATATTTTGCCTTTCTTAACCATGGGGGGGGGGATTAGGCATTATCTGCCTTTCCTAAAGTACGCCCTTATCAGAAGATGTTATGTACTTTCTTATCAATTAAAGTTTGTGTTGACGTAACATCCCTTGCGTTCATTAGATTCAAAGTTGTTCTTCAAACATTGTAAAAATAAACATCTATTACAGTATCTTGATTGTTATTTTTTTGTTGCAGTGGTATACGGATCATGGTTTGATCACGTGCTACCGTACTGGGAGTTCTGCAAGCACTATCCGAATAATGTTTTCTTCATAGCATACGAAGAACTAAAACTCGTAAGAAAAAAATATTATACTTTTTTTTATTTTGAATAATCGCAGTCGAAATTCAAAAAGCAGAATTTAGTTCCAAGTAATTGAAATTTCAGGTTAACGAGAATTTTGAAAAATTATACTTGAAAAACTAGTAGATTTTGTATATAGCTATCCATACGAATCTATTTAATAAAGCATGCGAGAAATTATTGCTTATAACTACAATTATTTTGTTACATAAAAATTTTTGAAACATAATTAAAATAAAGCAAACCGAAGTTTACAGTCCTTATCTGCATTAAAAAATATTGCGGACAGTGGCATGAAATCATATGGATCAAACGACATGCTTTCGAAAATGATAAGGAAAATTAAGAAATTTTCCTCTTCGATATTTAAACTATCCCCTTCCTCATTTAGTAGTATCATTTTTTTCATTCCGAATAAACGAATAAATAAATATAAATAAAAAACTGAAAGGGTCTTCTTAAAGTTCAGTTTGGTTTATCAATAGAGATGGTCCGAGGGAAATAACGAAACATTTTATAGGCTACTAGATGAATATACATTTAGACTAGCATGGGAAAGTTATATATCATCTGTATATTTGAAATATCATAAATTAAATGCATTTTTATTTAAATCAATTAGATTAAAAAGTAAAAAAAAAAAAATAATATTCTTAAGAACTTCATCTATTGCTTTTGCTTTCAAATAGCTTAACTTGTTAATCAATTGTAAGCAGATTAAATTTGGAAGGTAAATATCAAAATTGAAACAATTCCTCGCCCCCCCCCAAAAAAAACCGATTTAGAAGCAATTAATACGGGTCGGGTCGAGACGGGTGGAATAGTATAATATTTTTTTAAAAACTTTTTTGAAACGACTACCCACAGCTATACACACCTTTGGTCTTCAGTGGAGATAGTTGTCTCTTTTACAGAACTTGGATGTCGTGACGTTCAATACTGTTATATAGGGTGATCAAATAATCACATATATCAAACTTTCAAAACCTGTGAAAATTCTAAAATGGACATTAATGGCAAATTGCTTCAATGAATGACCCTTCTGTTGTTACCTGAAGCTGCAGTTTGTGCTGTTAGCTTTAAAAACCGTTTGGTGCAAGATGGAGATAAATTTTTTCAAAGCAGAACGTTTTATGATTGTGCATTACTTCGCAATGCATTCTTATGGAAAATTTATTGAAGCGTTTAAAGAGACGTTTCCAGTTGTTTGTGAACCAAACTGGAAACAAGAATTTTCCACTTTTCAACCCGATTTCGAGAAACTGGAAGCATTCACCTCAAGAAATGAAGTGACCGCTCGTCTCTTATAAGTTCGGACAAAGTGAATGGAATCAGGAATACAATGTTGCAGTCACCAACAAAGAGTGTGAGAAAGATGGCATCGCAACCAAATTATTCGTTGCGAAACAACTCTCAATCATAGAAATTCGTTCTCCTTTAATAAAAACTCATCTTTATTTTCCATCAAACAAATGGTTTTTAAAGCTGCAGTTGAAGTTGTAATTGAAATTCCAAGTGATATATTATAATTGTATTAGAATGTCGTCTATTGAAAGCATTTGCAATTAATATACATTTTGGAATTTCCTTATGTTTTGGAAGCTTGATGTGAGCGTCTTTGCGATCATCCAGCATAAATAATGCAATTTCAGAAGTAACTGCGATAAAGATTTCACTGTTTGCTGTATGTTTTAGACATCAGAAGCGATATATAAAGTGTCAGACAGTGAAGTTTAACTTTTCGGCAGTTATTCTTAAGTTTTACTCTTCAGTTAGATTTAAGTTTAATTATCTTCTGTTTTTCTTGACACATCAAGAAACTCACTTGAATCAAAAAGTTATGTAATCTGAACGGCAAGCGATATAGATTAGAAAGTTCGTTTAAACCACGATGCACATGAAGCTTGCATCGTTTTACCTATGACAGTCGCCTGCGCCTTTGTGAAGAAGTTGCCGAGAAGTATTGGTTAGACTTGATGAGTTGTTAAAGAATTAAGCGATATCTCGTTCCAACCGCAAATACCGGAATCTAAGCATCAAGGCAGGTAGACTGCTTTTGTAAGAGAAGTTGGTTTTAGTTTATCATCGTTTTAAGTTTCATAACGCTCATCAAGAGTCGCAAATAAAGACTTGATTAAGTTTTTACATTTGAGTTGTACATTGTGTAAATACTTAAGCAGTGCTGGGCGCCAAGTATTACATTACCTTCCTTGTGTATCCGTTAGGTGTTAAGGATAAGTTTTAAATTATTTCACAGCACAGAAATTATAACTTTATTCAAAATAAAATTATAGATTATAGTCCAAAAATAAATATAATTTGTATATTTATTTTTGGACTTATCAAATATTATAGTTCAAAAATAAATATATGAAGTATAATTTTAGATATTTACAACAGCTAAGATTGCAGCTGCTTCCTGAAGGTGACTAAATAATCCAGAAAAGAGCAGAAGTGACAATTGCTTCGCATTTTAGATTTCTGCCGAGGAGATATGGGTCATGATATCCTTGATAACGAGATAAACTTGGACTTCGGCTTATGGAGATAGAAATACCAAAAACGTCATTTCAGCGTCCTTTGAAAAGTTCCGACTAATCAAGTTAGAGAACTATTATCAAGGGAAGTTAATATGATTTTGAATGGATTTCACAGGATTTAGATATTCAATTTGACTTATCAAAAATTTCAATTTAGTCGAAGTTCTTATTGTACATTCCGCACAAAGATAGAGGGAGTCAGTTCTATATTTCTCGTTCTACTGGGTCGATTCACGTAATTTAATGTGCGTTTCCACTTCTCGAAAGCAGGACTTAGGATATGTATTAGATTTATATATATCATTGTCTTAACATAGGTGTTTTGACAGAAAATCGAACTTTTTCTGAAATGATATACTAACTTTTTAACATATTTCGATTCTACGTTTCAAATTACGCCTAAATATAATATTTTGAAAATTTTGCTGAGAAACTTGCCAAGATATTTAAAAATTTATCTTGACTCACCCTTTTCAAAGTTCACGCCAAGAATAATACAGTTGGCGAAATTTTTAATTTAGGGTAACATATTTTCCTTTCCCTTTCATTGTCCACCAACGGAAAAAGGGAGCATTGTTCATTATTTCAAATAATTTTAACGTGTTTTAACAAGTGCGTAAACCACATTTGGGGTTATTATCGCTTATAAGAAATATGCCAAATTTTAAAACGTGCGGATATATAAATTCATGTATATTTGGGGAAATTCCGAATAAAAACCTTTAATTTTTGCAAGTATGTCTAGAAATACATCTAATTTAAGATGATGGTAAAAATTTTACAGGTTATAATTCAAAATGGTTTTCGAAACATTTATAAAATTACTAAAATATACAAGTTTTAAACATAGATCAGAAAATATCTGTAATTTTTTTTTGGATTGAACTTAAATTTCAAACTGTGAAAGAAGGAATCAAGTAAGTTTAATTTAAAAATATATATATTAGCAAATATAAAACAAATTCAATTAACACCGAGGAGCTAAAGTTTTGAGAGCTAATCTTTTAAAACTACTTGCGCGATTTTTACAAAACTTGGCACTTTGGCATAATTTGAGTTGCGGAAATGAAATATGAAAAGCGTATGTCATTTCAGAAAACGTCCGATTTAGCGTCAAAATACCTGTATTAGTACCTACCCCCGCTATACATAAACCTAGGTTCCCAGATAAAAGCCCACTGGACGAAAGCCCACAAAAAAGACTCCACTGCGATAATTGCCCACGCGACAAATACCCACAGCGATGAAAGCGCAATTGATACGTTGTCAGAAAATGAATTCCAAATGTAGCCTCTTAATATTTCAACTACAGCAATTTGGAATAGTGTTTTTAATTTTCCTTTTATTTATTTATTTATTTTTGCGGGGGAGGGAATGGAACAACTCTTAAAGTCAACATATCTACTTAAATTTAAGTACAATTACCTCAAACTATAGTAATAAATATGTAGCATTTTATTAGAGATTGTGAAGATTACAAAGAACTATGCATATAATAACATCTAATAAAATTTTGTAACTACATAAATATATATTTATAGAGTCATCAGATTCAAAGTTCATCGTATTTAAATTCTAAGTATACATATTACATAAATTCATCATTCATTAATAGTATTATGTATAGTAATAGAAAATTAGTATTCAAATTGTAATTTTTTAATAATTTGTCTGGCATTTGCTGTATATTTGTTCAAGGCGTATGGATATCAGTTATATAACATGGAAAATACACAGAAAACAGCTAATGTTATATAACAGCTGATTGTGAAGGAAAAATTACAGTGCTCTTAATTACAGTTATAGTGCTTTTAAATTTCCCTATTGTAAATAGCAATTTAATCTAATGCCAATTAGAAAACGAATTCCATTATCCATTAGAAAATAATTATAGTGAATTATATCTATTGAAGACCATATTACCTTAAAAATAGTTAATCACTAAACACTGGTACTTCGGTCTGAGATACGAGTCCCGCAAATGGGCTGATTGTATGGAGATTTTCATTGGTTTCCCCATGTGTAACATATATACGAGCCATTTTCTCTTAGAAAGTCTTCCAAGAAGGCATCCCTTTCCTCAGGCAGATAATCCTCGAGGCTTTGCCGTGCTCACATACACCAAACCAAACTCACTAATCAACTTGATGTTCAGTAACAACAGAATAAGGATAAAAGTTGAAACCTTTTATTCAAGAAGAACTATTTACAAGAGAACACCTTGTGCTTAACATATAAGACCACTGCTTGTGGTGTTATGTTACGTAGAAGTGAAGGGGCCACCGTTCTGCCACCGCCGGGGGTTAAATTAGATCAAGTAAAATGCATTATATTACATAATATATATAGAGATACATAGTTGTACAGGTGCATGTTTTATGGCGTTATTTATTGTAATAGGTACAGGCATCATGTTTCAGGACATTATATATTGCAGTAGATAAAGGCGTGA